CAGTCATTCGAACCTGTTAAGTTTGAACGCTACCAGGAAGAAGTCCTTGCATATATCATCACCACAGAGCTGGATCCTCTGACTTTGGCGGAAGACCACTGCACTAATATTACATACATGGCCTTTCTTGTCAAATCTGTTCATACATAGAACCGCGTATTTACTTCACATAGGTGTGAGGTTCTTGTACAGTGTTTGCTTGATGAGACAAAAAGTTCCTGAGACACAGCCGGCCAGGCACAACTGCAACCATTTCGTCTCAGACCTGTGTTGGGCGCTGCTCAGGCCGTCCTGACGAAGTCGATTTTCATCAAGCCGATACTCATCAAGCCGATACTTTTTGGGGGTTTGCTAACCGCTGGATCTTAGGACCCGGGCTCCTGCCGACATCTTTTTGTAATTGCTAGGTCAGCATTGCACAGCTTGTCGCTTCATGCTGCAACCGTCCTCCGCTCAGCATCAGCTGCTGAGAGGCGGCGACCCCCAGACTGGATCAATCAAACTGCTGAGCGGTTCGGCAGGACGCGGTCGGGGTGCATAAGCTGCACATTATGTGCCTCATGTTCATATTCATATACATGTGTTGTTGTTTAGTGGGTTCTCTTGTTGTTTATCACTTTGCACGTATGCTCTCCTTGGCTAGTAGCTGCCGGGAGGAGGTCCGCATTCATAGAGCTGCCAAGGTTGGAGCATGTTGGAACCGGGTCCAATGTTGCAGCGATGTTGCAGGCCCCAAGTAGAGGCGCGGTTCAGGCTGTGACATGGCAACAGCTCCTGCCTGTTCTCCGACCACGTCATAATATCCATTCTGTCATAATGTTTGGACTGCCCTTTTTGCTATGACCGTGTGAACGATAACTCGTGAACGTCTTCGGTGTTCCGTAACGCACTAAGCCATCGTCGAAACGGCTGTCATCCAGATTGATGCCCGCAAGTGAATTTGGCCTTGTGTGTATCATGGATCCGACCTAGATGGCCTTGTGCCTGAGACTTTAAGGTCACGGTCGAGCTTAGCAGGCTAAAGACCATGCTAACATCCTAACCAGCCCATGTAAGATGTTACAAACTGGAGACGCCTAACTGTGCTAAATTCATACCGTACGCCCAAGTCCGGGAATCCTCGCCACCTCAGCCCAGCGAATAATTGCTGACACAGGACCCGCAGGATTGAGTACACCTTGAAGCAGGCTCGCAGTATTCCCTGGAAGCGCAGCTACCTAAATTTGGATTGCAATACCTTGAGACTGAGCGGCGCTTTTCAAGAATGCAGTTTGGCCATGGTCCTTGATCCCGGTGTCCTTGTCGTCTGCCGAAATATTTAAGTGCGTGTGTGTGTGTGTTAAGTTGAGGGCTGGTTGTCGTGAAGAAGACAGGTGGCTTCAATACACGCTTCCTATACCCGCCAAGACACTTGGTTTCGCATATTCAGAAGATGTTGGTGTTTGTTGGGGCTCCTTTTGTACTGCTGGATGAACCCAGGTTCTTGTGGCTCAGTTGTGTTTGTTCTGATTGCTGTCTTCTTCTGTTGAGGTAATAAGGATGCTCCGAGCAGTGATTTTGTAGTGTCTAGGTGTTTCAACTTTCTGTGTTTGGACGGTCCCCGGTTCAAACTGCACGATGCGCGATGGCCTTTTGCTGGGCTTCTGTAGAGGCAACAAACCCTCAGGATGCACGAATGCAACATCATGCAACCCAGTACCAACATAGAGTAGATACATAGGCCCCTGGCAGCCTTAAGCCCTACTTAGCCCTACTTACTCCAGCCTGAATCCTAGAACCCCACTAAACGTACCAGAACCCTCAACCGTACTTCCAGGCGCTGCGCTTGGCCATGGCGAGCTACAAGGGAAGATACGCCGGCGCGGAGGGTTTGCGGGACGTTGGATTTGGAACCATGCGACACGTAGGGTTGAAGCTCGGGATGTCAATGTAGGGCAAAGCGTACCCTACAAGCCCACACCCAAGAACCTCTAAATCCTACGTAATTAGTTCTCTTTTGTTTTTGCAGATCAGAACAGGATGAGGGAACCTTTATAGACCCTATAACAGCACTATATCGCGAATATCCTAGGTCCTAACCTTTCTAAGAAGCCACTGAAGTCAACATTAAACTCCGGTATCCTGTAGTTCCCTGCGAAGGGAGAGCCAAGAATCGAGTCTGGGACGATCGTTTCTTCGGCTTTCGTGTGGAGACGGGAACTCCTGCTGGATGAAGACAGTAGTACTCAGCATTGTACAAAAATCATTATGATTGATTTGGCCAAGTACTGTGACTATGTTATGATGTTTGGTAGCCGCCATCGTAGCAGTAGTAGTATTAGTTATTAGTTAGTAACAGCCACCATCGTTCTTGTTCAGCATACGACGACTGTTCTCGTTTCCACCTTGACCCGGAACAGGCCGGGTTCATGGATGAACGCATGATGCCTGTCTGCTTTCGGGCCGTAGCCATCTGTGCTGTGGCATGAAGATCAAACATATGTGGAAAGGAGATCTTACGCAGCTTGCATGTCTTTTCTGGAACTTTCCGGCAGATGTACACAATCCCGTCACGATCGAGACGGTACCGATGCAGTCTCTGCAGAACAGACCAGACCTTGGCCGCTCAACGAATCCGCACAGTGTAAGTAAAGCCTAAACACGAAGCAGCACAGCGCCATGCCCCTGCAGAAGCTTTCAGATGCGGCTCGAACAGGGCCAGCTCCGAACGGACAGTCCCAGCCGGCACATTGCGGTACAGGATTTAGGTTTCAGAGGGCTTCGTGAGCAGCTGAAAGTTTACGGTTGTGAGGGCAAGACTGATGAAAACCACGCAGAATGACCCGAGTCGTTCTCGAGGATGACTACATGCGGTGGAGAAGCATTCACTTTTGTGGCTAGTATGTTCGTTTATCTCTCCGCATGTACATCAGAAAGACTTGGCCATAACCGCAGAATGCCACGACTTGCTACTGCCCGAACCCGAATTTGGCTGTCGAAGTCCTGGACCCTCCGCACTGCAGACACCTTTTCGGACACTCCAACACCCGGAATCTGCAGCGCTAGCACACGCAAGAAGCTGATTCTGGATTTGAAGTGCTTTTCTAGACAGACAGCCACATGTCAGAACCACCAAATAACATACGTCATCATGTTGAACTTCAAACTTGGCGGGTGCATGAACTGCAGAAGAGGTTAGCGTGCATGCACATGTACGGTGACTTAAAACGTGTGTCATGATTGATACCTCTCATGCGTAGTGCTTGAAGTTCTGCATGGCAAAACACCAACGCATGCATGCATGTGTGTGTGTGCATGTTTTGCGCGCATGCATGCAGGCAGGCAGGCAGGCAGACAGGCATGCATCCACACACACACAGATATATATATATATATGTCTTTCTGTGTGTGTGCGCGCAGGTATGTAAAATACATTTGTTTGTCTTTCCGCCGCTTCTTTGCGGCTCCGAGACACTGCAGCTTGCGATTGTCATTTTCAGACTCCCCAGGTTGGGGCAAGTTGCTGCACGTGCCGAGGGCACCCAGGCCTCAACCCTTGAAGCCCTAAACGGCCCCACCCTCAAAGCTCAAACTCCATATGGGGCTAAATAGTAGGAACTTAGTAGGATCCTTATTATAAGGACCCAAAATAAGGTACCCCAATTCTGGGAAAGTCCCTGCAATTGCGGAGTGGGGGGGGGGGTGGGGGGCAGGGCTTGGCTCATCCTTTGCCAGGGCTGCCTCTAGCTCATCCACGAAAATCTACCGGTGGATCGAGTTTGCCAACAAAGGCCGGGATCGAATCGAAGTGGGGGTTTTAAAACATATATCGGGGCCGAGTCTAGTTACCTCTTTAAAGCTAAGAGCCTTGACATTCGGACCCCCGCTTCGAATCCATATGCATGGGGCATGGCATGGGGGTCTCAATCTATAAGTCTGAATGGAGGCAATCTGAAAAGAGGCTCGGAGTCTCCGACTCAGCGCAGCTGCGTTGTTTCCGAATCCTGGGCTATTTCACGGAACTTCACGTTCTTGACACTCAACCCGGGGCCGGTATATAGGTGCTACTGCTTGGCTTTCGCGGTGAGAATGCATCAGAATGAGCATCAAACCCCGCAAGTTCAACAACTCTGTGAATCATCAACACGCCCGAGGCCCAAGTTTCCAACCCCAATCCCGAAGCAAATCCAAGAAGTCGTACTGTCGTAAGGTCACGCAAGCATCATTCATTCACTGCAGGCGAGCAGATCACGGAGTTTGATGAGAGCCACTTCCAGCTGCAGCTCAGACGCAGATCTTAGAGCTTCCCGCTGCATCCTCCTGCGGAGTCATGCCAGCATTTGTGTACGGCAATATAGAAGCTGTCCTGTGAGCTTCGGGTACTTCAGCAGATCTTCAAGCCAGACCGCTGCAAAAGCTTTGATTACCCAGCCCGTCAGAGTACGTTTGTTCTTTGATGCTGATCCTGGCGCTGGCACTGAGGCAGGGGCACTTTGAATCCAATTCCTCCGAAGGTCATAAGACCTACCAGGACCTGACGCTTCCGGAGTTGCTGTTGTGGGGAAGTCTTCGGCAGGAAAGATCTATGCAGGCTTACAGTCCTCTAGACTTTACCTTCGTAGACGACATGTGCTGAGGTCTTGAACTCTTGGACATCGGATCGGATCCATCTATTTATCACTTATTGCGGGAACCGAATCAGGAAAAAAGGGTCGAGGCGACGATGCCCATGTAGGGCTATACCAACCAAGGCGACATATGGGTACGCATCTTGCGGAGCCGGGACTGTATCACTCTTGTTTTCCGAGTCCTTGTTAAGTTAACTCAGTGCTCGCAGGACCGTCTTCGAAGCATCCACTTTCGCAAGGCAGCTTGACAGTAAGATTCGTTGGTCTCGTAACCGGGGATGTTTACCATGGAGAGTTCTGTCGCATGTTGCCTGAGGTTTCGAAATTCGGGCTTCTAGGCTTGGAGCGCAGCATTCCCGCTCTGTGCAGTAAGTCAGAAGATGGACATCTAAGGAAGGCAAGACGAAAGCTGAGATTGCCAGGTGCCCATGGGACCGGGTTCTCTTTTGTTTGGTTGCTTCGTTTTTTTTCCAAGGGTCCATTGCTGAGGCTGAACTGCCGTTCTTTCGTCGGACGCCCCAGCACCAAAATCTTGAGACCCTTGACCATGCCAAGCAAAGGCCATTGCTGCGCAATCTTTAGAATAAAATCTGTTGTCGATCGCTGTCATTGTGCCATGCAGAGCGGCTACGGCTAATTTTGCGCAGGCTCCTTGGTCGGTCCGAGCAGTTTGTCGCCAAGTGGTGGCAGAAGGACGAGCGAGAAATTCCCCGCCCCTGGGGTGTTCATGAGCCTCGTGGCCGAAAGCCAACTCAGTGTGTAGCGCAGTTCAGTTCAGGGACAGGCACTTCGCGTGCTCTGGCGTCCCAAGCCCTAAACATTCCTGAACCTTGATCGTCCGCTTGCATCCGCGATAATCGAACCTCTACCCCGTCCAACTTTAGTCCAACACCCCTACTTAGTCGCTGAGTAAGTACCCTGTAACCTTTCGTGGAAATGTTTTTGGTACTATGTCCTCAAATAGCACCAAGGGTCAACCTTTCACTTTAGTCCTTCTGGAAACTGAAGAGGTAAGCCAACCCTCCACCTGGACTTTTTTTGATATGCACAAGAAGGCCTGATTCACAAGCCAGTGTCGGTCCCAAGCTTTGCACCACCAAGCCGTCAGAAACCAAAGCAACGTCCATGCATACCAAAGCCCTTACTTACACAATTAAGTGTAGGAGCTAGGCTCTCCAGCCCGGATAGTATCTATGGAGCCGGAAGACATAAGAGCGTCAAGCGGCACATGAAGAGCTCAGGTACATGTCCAAAGAGCTCGGCACGAAAACTGCAACGAGCCAAGCCACGCTGTCTGAGATCTTCGGCAAAAATGGGCTTTGTTCCACACTTCTACTTGAGAGCTTTGGGTAGGAGTGTGTAGGCACCACTTGACTGCTGTGCTGTTGTCGCTCTTGACCCTGCCGCTGCTGCTGCTGTTGTACCGGTGTTGTCAATATTACGCCTGCTATTATTGCTGAAACGCCCCGCGCTTCTTCAAACGGGTGGTTCAGATCGTCGGAAGGGTTGAAAACTAAAAGAAACCAAGAAGCCGACCCTCTTAGGCCCCCAAATGCCATGTAACACCGACGAAATCCCAAGTCCTTTTGGATGAGACTCCGCCTCTGCATGGAAGGAACTCAGAGGTCTCCACAGCCGCCTGGTGGCGGGACGTCGAGGTTCGACGGAAGTACCACGTGGAGTCTTGGCATCGGAGCTTTAAGGGTTTCGGATGTTGCGGATTCGGTTGTGAAAGTTCTGGTCATAGGGCTTCCTGAAAGCCGTCTACCAGGCATCCCTGAACGCCCCGGACGAGCTCAGAAACGAGAGCTTGCCGAATTCCGCGAGAGAGCCCAGGATCCCGATGTTTACGACGAGCTCCTGAACAACACGGAGACGAAGCATATACGTGCTTTTAAAGGGTGTAGAGTGCGGGGAGTGTTGGGCTTGGAGCTCCTAGGTTTCTTGGGATTTCGAGGTTGACACGGGGTTGCGGATCCAGGAGTGTATGGCTTAAGGAGCCTGCGGTAAGCCCCCGCCAAAAGCACGAGCCTCTTCAACCCTGAGCCCGTCCTGCACAAGCAACAGCCCAACCGGCAAACACCCCAGAAGACGCAAACTAGCCGTAAAGCCAACAGTCCAGAACTTGCTGCTTGCAGGAGTGGAAGTCGTCCGCCGCTCGCACCCGAGATTTCTCCACTGGAGCCTCCCATGTCAAGTACGACAAGGACCTCGGACTATGGGATCTGGGGGTCTTGAGGCCTACAGGATGGCCAGCGGTTTGATTCATGGCTTTAGTTCATCACAGTCATAGTCTAACCCCATATATGCTCTCGTAGAAGAGTTCTTAGTTGCTTTGGCATTTTAAAGGAATGAAGCTGTAGCCTACTGCATGCCTGGGCGGTCTTTGCCGGCCAGTGTCGCACACATGTGGCTGATGCTAGAACTGAAAACCCAGTCGTTGAGCTCTTTGGGACTTGAGAGTTGCTTTCTGCGGACGACCCTGGCCCACAACTGGAAGGCTTTCCAGGCATTTCGAGTGAATCAAGGACCTTTACCCCGGAGGTTTGAGAGAGCAACAGCGCAAGGTTTCCAAGACGAAGCCCAGCTGCACAAGATGCGCCGGCATGCATTCGCAAGCCTTTGGCAGGAGGGGAAGATGAAGTTGCAGGGGAACCAGAGTGCCAAGTACACCAAAGGCTGGCTACGAGGGCTTCAGGGAGTGTGATTCGGCATTTTGGGTGCTGCAAGAGAGTAGAAAGACTTAGCATCCACCCCTCAGAGAAGCTTCGGAGTTATGCTATGCAGTTCGCAGTTGGGCATCTTGAGCTCTATATATATATATATATATATATAGACTTTTCGTTCAGCTTTGGGAGAGCGGACACTCTGAAGCCTTCGGCCCACAACCTAGCCAAAAACTTCAGCTAGGGAGTATGGTCTAGAGCATTCTTCGGAGCCCGAAACTGCTCTGCCTGTCTTCTAGACAAGAGAGGGTTAGAGGACGTCGGTAGGTTCGCACGAAACTGAGACTTGCTGAAAGCCGTCACCCTCTTAGCCCTAAAGCCCCCATCCCCGAGTCCTGTTCGCTTGTGTGCATGACCTGGTCTCAGGATCATCCCCGGCTTTTGACAAGATGCTTCAAAAGTTCTTTTCCGAGCAGACCTGCCTTGTCATGCAGGGGTTGGGATCGAAGGGTGTTTAGGCTTTCGCAGAACCGGGCATCAGGGTCTGAAGCAGTTTGATAGTTGCTTCGGGTTCGGGCTCCGACGGTCCGAGTCCGGTCATGTTCCAGGTTTCTTCATTTGTTTGCTTACTTCTTTCTTGCCCTTCTCGTAATGAAGCACTGGCGCCGGCCTTGCCTACATATCTGTTTGAACAGACGTTGCACTTCACTGGGCCTAGGCATTCATGTTGGAGAGAGGAGGCGGGGGCAGCGTGAGGGAGAGAGAGACAGAGAGCACGGGGCCCACGGGAGGTTGCAAGGGAGCGAGGGGTTGAGGTTTTGGGGTTCTGGGATGGGGTGCAGGTGCTTGGAATTCGGGCATTCAGGTTTTTCTTTCCGGGCTGTAATGGGCCTATTTGGGTTTGCACGACAAAGCGGGGTTGAAAGCCTGGACTCTCACCGCCCAACCCTGAATCCAGAATGAGCCTTTTTTTCTAGTGGCTTGGGCCTGTCTAGCAATAGCAATCTAGTAGGCGCGAAAAGTGCAAGGCAAACTGCATGATGTCAAGGTATGGCCTGGCAGAGCGGACATCCGGCATAGGACTGAACTGGTACCCAGAAACTTGGTTGCAGGGAGCACCTAAGAAGAGGCAGATTGCCGTTGTTGGCATGGCAGCCTTGCGCAATCTGCAAGTCCTATATATAAACCATCCGCTTTCGTTGGCGTAGTCACGCGTAGCTCTGAGCCGACCTCATGGACCACACGCAACTGCCTTCGAACCTGGACAAGCTCGACTGCATCGTACGAGTCGCGAGAGACCAAACAGCATGAACCTGAACGGGATCGGCATCAGCTGTATCCTGCACAGATCCATGCGGAGCCTGCTAGAAGTTGCTTCGACGTCTAGTCAACATAGCATGTGCTACATCCTCCGGTTTGTCGATTTCGACATGCTGCATCCGTAGCATGGCGCGACACTGTCAAAGGCGCCGGTGTTCGAATAGGTTCTCCACATAGACTCTCGTAGATCTATTTCTCCCTCGACCTTTCAGCGCGAGGATGGCGAATCGGTACTCGGAAGTCACCGCTCCCCGGGCTTTCAACGGTGGATGTCGGGGGTTGTTAACCCTTGTAGGGCTTGGAGTTTAGAGGTTCAGGGGCTTCGGGAAGTTATAGGATTTAACACTGTATAGCGTTGCTTGATTGTGCAGGGTATTTAGGAGGTTTGGATTTCGGTTTTAAACGGGGTTTAGCCCATACTCTCCCGGAAACGAAGATGTCAGGTTTGCGCTCGTACCTCCTGCAAGGGGAGATGCTGCCCTATGCAGCTGTTCGCACGTGTGTAGATGCTGCGGTTATCACAACATCCTGAGGCCACGATTGTTGGACTGCTTTGTTCTCATTCGGCGACGAACGCATTCTGACGACACCCGGCCGGATTCGGGGCTTTGCATCTTTTGCAGCCACTCCCTTCGTTCCAGAGCCGAAGACAAAGATGGAACCAAAGATGGCCTTCAGAGCCCTCTCTGAAGGTCCATGTACGCGCAAGGCCCGAGCCTTTCTTGCTGCATGGCACCGCTATAGTAGCGCCAGTGAAAGAGCTACAATCTGTCCCTGAGCCTGGAAAACCGAAGCTTTCGACTCAGGGGTGTGCAGTTTAGAGTTCGGCAGATCTGCAAAAAAAAGATCCGTTTTGTCCAGGATCGACAAGACGCCTCTGCTCCTTCAAGACTGCGACTCGGACACGTTTCGGACATGTTCGGATCGCAACTTCCGAAACAGTCTCCCAGTCTATATGTAGCACCTGAAGCCCCACACATCGATTCCAAAGTCTGTCCCCTCAAGCCGAAATCCCAAGTTCCTGTACCCAGGCGACCTCGTAATCTTCGGCACGCAGCGGCATGGCGTCCCGAAGATGCCAGAGATCAAGGCTTTGCTCGTTAGAGATCAGATTCATGTCCTCCGGTTCATGGTTCAAGGCTTCCCAGGGCTTAACGTTGAAGGTTTATTGCTTCGAGCTTTTACTGATGTTTGGTTGGAGGACGTCATTCTGCCGTGTTGACACCGGTTCAGAGTCACTTTTCGCCGCAAGGGCGGACGCATCACGGTGCCCATTTTCTTCTACCCGACCCACATGCAGATGAAGAAGCGACTGGGCTTGCTACAGCGTCGCAGTTCAGAATTGTGAAACCAAGTTTGCTGATCCACGTCCAATCCTCGGGCTGCTAGGCAGCGTCCCTGATTCCGTCTCCATGCAGTTGCTGTGTGGCAGAGGCCAAGTTTGATTTCCTTAGCCTCTGATACCAGACAACACATGATTTCTCGATGCGTTGAAGACAATGGGGCATCGATAGCATGTGTAGATACTTGATGCTTTTGGAATAATGGAAGCAGAAAAGTTGTCCAACGTCAGATCCGGTGCCCCACGCCCTACACATCTCCCCACATCTCCCGGCTCGAAACAAGCAGCTCCTCCTAGTACTACTACTACTACTGCTACTACTACTACTACTACTCCTGCTGCTACTACTACTACTACTACTACTACTACTGCCATAATGCTTCTGTTGCAAGCATCGACACCTGCACACCTCCCGAGGCAGTGGCAGACTCTGACCGATCCCGAGGATCCCCGTCGCTCCAATGAGCTGGCGAAGCTGTGGCTTGGATACTGCAATAGGGTCTCGGAGGTGTTTTGGGTGTGATTCCGCTTGTTTGCGGGCTATGTTTTGCAGGATGCCTTTCTAGTAGGTTCGCTCACAAGGATTTCTATCGGTGCTCGTCCGGGCCATCAATGCCAATGCAGTTCAAGGCGCCTGAATGCGAACTGAAGGTAGAACAGAAGCTCGGAAGAGCTACTAGGCCGTTACTAGGCTAAGGTGCCCTACTCAATGCATGCAGGAGCATTAGCCTCAAAAGCAGCAGTAAGCTCGTGCTTCGCTTACAGTCTAAAAAAAACGCCTGAAGCTGACGACCAAAGCATCGGCACCCATGGCCTTTTGTGGCGCCATGAACGTAAGGCAGTCCACGCACCAGCTCGGCAGCGATGCGATGGGTCAGACGTTGTGGAGTTTCTTGCCGAATAATGTGAGCTTGAGGATCGAGAGTCTTGGGACTTTTCACATTGTCTCTTATGAAGCTCCAACTCATGGTATGCAGCTGTCGGCGTTCGAGCAGGTCATCTACAGGGCTCAAGATGTCTCCGAACCGTTTACCGCCAGACCTCTAGTAGTCCTGATGTCTAGCACAATCTGAATTGCCACATCCCGATGCCTGGCATTTGTTCCGCCTACACAGCTCTCGCCCACTCGCCCCCTTGGGCTTGGGGATGCGGTGTTACTGCACACGTGAATTTGGACATTGCAGCCGCATGAGTTGTTCGTTCCCGCTGGGAGTGCATCCGATATGCACCAGATGCATGATGTGTTTTTGGCAGGAGGCCCAAGAACAGTGCAAATAAGGCGATCCTCAGCGCAGCTTGGCTTTGGAGCAGCTTTTGCAGCGACCTGGCTCAGCTAGACAGCTAAACCGTGGGTCAAGTGTTATAGAAGTCCAAGTTTCTGCACACGTAGACGCTGCCCCCGACAAACCCACTGTCCTGCTGCTCATGCCCCAAGCGCCCACTCTTTCAGTCCCGACCCAGTTTTTCTTTCTCCACAGCCCTTCAAAGTGCTCCCTCCCTTCATCCTTCATGACCGGAGCAAGGTGCCCGCAGTGATGCAGTTCCCCTTCACAAGACCACTGCTTGAATATTCAACTCATCTAACCCCCTAAACTTTAAACCAACGACTGCTTCGCCATCGCGGTGATATACAAGCCTGAGCAATCAGCAATAGTTCCCCCTTGTAGTCCCCATATACAGTATTTGTGCTATCTATATTATATATATATATATGATATGTATGTATACACATACAGTTATACATATGTATATATATATACACACACGCTCATATTTATATTTGTAACAACACCCGAACCCCAGCCTACTTCTTCCGAGGCTCGGCTTCGATCTCGACGCATCGCGCAATGCGCTGCAGGCGCCCGGGCGGGTGCTGTGGGAGCCTCTACAACTTGCTTGGAGGCTTCAGGGTTATTCCGAGTTTAGGGTTTAGGATTGGGGTACCTAATTCTGCAGCACGCCACGTGGGTGTACAACATCTGGGTTGTTACTTTTCGGTTATGGCTGCAGGCTCTGACAATGTATACAGTACGTGTGTAGCGGTCCTGCAGTTTGTTTGTTTCGGTGCGGTTCCCGCTTGGGCATCTGGCGAAGGAGAGCACGGCAAGCGAATCTAGACTCAGTGCAAACTTCCAATTCGACACACTGCATCGGCTTGCAGCCCAAAGCCCAAATCAAGCGGAGCCATTGGGTTCAGCAGGTGATGCGATGCTTGCGGGTTGGACTTTGGAGCACTGAACTGGGTTTCGGTTCAGGCTTTAGGGTCCGAGTTGCAGGGCTCAGGATAAAGGTTGCTTCATATTGGGCGTGTGGCCTAGTGGCATAGTAAATGCATAGTGCCAGCCTACACGCAGCAGCAGCCCGCATGTTTGTTTGCAGGCTAGTTTGTCACTCATCGTGTCGCCAGCGGTTTTGGATGAGCTGAACCGAAGCCATTTCGGCCTATGCTCCGTGAGAGGGCAGGATCAGGGACATGGGGCATTGCTGCATCGACATAACATGCTGGATGCCGTAGCTGCATGCATGTGTAACTATTTCGGAAGCGCCCCGTAGAGCTCGCTGGGTATGACTCGCAATGAACGGACACCCTAGCAAAAGAACTACCAATTGAGCATGGCTCATGGTGGATCGATGCAGACCTGCAATGTGCTGCACCACTTGCAAGATTACAGTGCATCATCTTTCGTCGCCTTACAATCGACCCCCTTGAAGCCTCCAGGGGAGCCCATGCCTCGACATGCCTACGCCCTCGGTTTAGTCGCTGGGCAAAACACACCACCAATGCTGAGAGCGCTCGCCGTGAATCCGGGCAAACAATTCTTGCTGCTGACAGCGACCGATGAGGACAGCAGGCCTTCCGTTTCTGCTCCGGCAGAGCCCATGTGGGCTGTGGCGAACATCAGCGTGGCATCGGCCGGGCAGTTGCACAGAGCTAGAGGCGACGTGGTTGTGCCGTACCAGGGTCCTAACATTCAGGACGACTTCATACACCGAATCTTCTTCAGAGTCTATGAGCAGCCTTCTAGGATTCCTCCTCAAAACTTGGGCAACTTTGGTCAGCTCCACTCATGGATGAGTCGGAATGGTCTCGTCGGACAGGGCGCCCGAACTGGCGGAAAAATGTCAGAGCTGCTTCTGACTGCGGTTCGGAAGCGTCCGATGGGAGTCGCCAGCGCTTCGACGCCTGGCTTCATGGCGACTATCCCAGACCCAGCGCGGGACTCTTCCAGGCGATGCAAAGCACAGCGCCAGAAGAGATGGCAGGAATTCGTCTTCATCGGCGTCTGAGCGCAAGAGGGCGATTAGTGACATGCACTTCGGTCGACAATAGACATTGGTGTGCACCCAAAAAGCTCAAACTCCGTGCCGGCAGTTCCGACACCTGACCATGAGCCACGGAAGATCAACTCCACAGCCTCAGACGGCTAGGTTATGTGTAGCCGGAAGCTAGGTTAGGGTGTGGTTGGGTTGGGAGTATATTTAAGGATAACAGCTGAAGATGATGTCAGGGAGCACCATGATGACCCGTTTTGCCTGCAACCTGTTCCATCTCTCTGAAGCCCTGGTTCTACCTCTCTTCAGCGTGTTGAATGTCGTGGCTTGCTTTGAGGTTTGAATTTCTTAATGCAGTGATTTACGGTTTCAGAAGCCATCTGGCACCAGACGACACCAACTGCATTGAAGGCGTTGAAGTGCATGGGGCGAAGTTCAACACTAAAGGTATCAGAGCAACCAACCGGAGCCAACACGGCAACAGCTGTGCGTACGAGCTTGGCGGGGGGCTGCGACAGGAGGTCAGGAGGGTGCATACTGTACTAGAAATAAACTTGCCACATTGCGCAGAGTCAAACTTCCATGCCACCTGCATCTTCACCTTCAGAGTCTAGAACATATACACGGTCGAGGAGTCGAAGCTTTCTATCCTGTCTGACCTTACGATGGGGTTTCGGGCTTTGGCTGGTTTCAATGCCGTCCGCCCTATAAGCCCCAGAGCCCCAAAGCCTCAAAGCTTCTTTGCCGTTTGTTTGAGTTCTGAAATGAGTGACTGAGTGCGACAGTAGGAGAGATCGCAACCACGCTGCTCCCGACCCCAGTTGTACAACCTGAATACCCTCAAGAACCAAGGAAGGGCTATAGCACCCACAGCCGTAGTGCCGTAGTGTAGATACTAACCGATCATGTACTGTTGAAACCCTCAAAGTTGAAGGCTTCCGCCTTCGACCCAGAGCAGGCTACCCGGTGGTCTGAGCATTCCTCCGGGCTCGTCGGATGTTCGCAGTGCAGACCCCTTGGTTTTGGGTTTATGGGCTCTGTAGCACGAGTATTGCAGAATTACACTAGCTCGATTCCTCTGTGCTTAGGACCCTCTATGTATGTGCAACTATATATATATATCTATATATATATAATATATATATATATATAAGTATAAATAATATGTGTATATATATATATAAATGCAAAAAATATGCAGATGTACATACTTATCTCTATGTATGTATGCATGCATGCATGCATGCATGCATGCATGCATGCATGTAACTATATATGTATGTATATGTAAACACATAAGTCAGTGTGTAAGTGTGGGGCCCCTGGCCCATGTATGCTCAGTAAATGCGCGATGTTGAGACGTAGTGTTGCTTAGGCGCTGCGAGGGCCCAGTTCAAGAGGACAGAACCAACTTCACGCAGGGTTCCCTGTCGATGTCTTGAACCTCTGAACCTCAAACCTGGTAGGTGACGCATATGTTGTCCTAACTTTGCAATCGGCTTTGCATATCAGGTTCGTGCTCCGGAAGCACTTGGACATGGGAAGCTGCTAGAACCATATCTCAAAACTCGTTGGACCTGATGCCCTGGCATAGGATGTGACTTACACCCTTGCGGGCAGTATGTGTCCAAACCCTCAGGCTTAAGACACCGATGTAAAGCCCCACTGAAGCAACGGATCGCACCATTCTAACGAAGTTCGATTCGTCCCTTGTGCTTCACTGCGTGCGGTCACAGCCTTAGCACGCCCTAAACTTCAACTCCTAAAGCTCAAGCCCCCTTTAGTCCTGCACTCGAAACCCGAAAGTCGATTATCCAAACCACCCAAAGCCTTATTCTGGGTCTTGAAGAGGCTGCCGAGCTTCTCCTTCTCTCGGGAGCAGCGGACCTTGATCTGGATCAGATTTCCGGAAGTGCCCAGGCCATGGACGGTACTTTCGAGGCTTTCAGGTTGCGAGAACATAAAGTTGAAGCCTAGCAACTAGATCGCCTACAAACATCCCACCAGTAAACAAAGACAACCCAGAATGTCAACCCTAAGCTTCGGTGCTTCAATAGTTTGTGGCCTGGGGCCAACCGCCGGCTGAGAGTTCCCAGGCCTATTGCTTTAAATGTGTAACTGGGCCTGAAAATCAAATAAAATAGTAGTCTGTGACATCCCAGTACGGGTAGAGCATAGTACCGCAGTCGTCCTCACAAAGCACTAGAGAGAAATGTCAGGGAAATGAGTCTCGAACCTTTATCCTGATTCTTTACAGCCGCTGCTTGACAGGAATCTCGTGACATGTTTGGCTCGAAAGACGAAATTGTTTTGGGTTTCTGTTGCGATTGTTTTTGCGTTTCTGTTGCGATGACGGCATTCGAAGCCCCGGCTTAGCGCCTCTAAGTTCAAAATGTTTCGCCGTTCGAAATTCGCAGGCGGCTCTGCAGAATGACCAGGAGGAGGCGAGGCATGCTTCATTCTCCCCTGGGCTAGAGACAGTCGTGACTGCATTTAGGGTCACGCACATTTAGCGCACCATTGATTTGTTTGTGCTGTAGCGGCATATATGCCTGAGTATGAACCGCCTTATCGTGACAATGGGCTCCAGTCGGATGCATTGCAGCAGAAGACCAGCAATGAGCCATGTCTCGAAAGACTTGTCTGCGAGAGCCGGGTGAGAGTTTGCCTGGTTCCAGGCGTTGCACTGTTAGCTGCAAGCACTTGAAGCCTATCTGCACCGGTAGCTCTTCAGCTGCCTGCAGGTGGATGCCAGATACAAATCCCGGAAGTGAGAGATCCAGAGAGAGAGAGAGAGAGAGAGTTGAAAGGTTAAGCGTGCAATCAAAATAAGCGAGATTTGCCTGGATCCTAAAAATCCGGGCCTCTAGTCCAGAATGAAGCAGCACACAAGAACGCTTGAACATGAAACCCTGCACCCTGCCAAAGGGAGCCCTCACGCAAGGTTTGAACCCAAGCACGCTATGCCGAAGGGGTCCTACATCCAATTGTACGATTATATGCACCATAACCCTCTAGTCTAGAGTCTAATCCACGTAGATGAACCCTAAAAAGAACCTTCGTCAAATTAAGAAAGGCCTCGGTTTTTGGGGGGCCTCCCAGGCTGTGCCTTCGAGCTCTTCGGGTCCCTTGCTGCGCGGTGCTCGCTGGGCCAAGCGAGGTCCAAGCACGGCGGAGGTCGTCGAGGGCTTTGGGCTTTGTAGGGCTCTGAGGGGGCTTACTGTAGGGCCTGTAGGGTTCTTGGGTTTGGAGGGTTTAGGCCCCAAGCCCGGATGCAAAAAACGGGTTTAGGATTCATGACTTTAGGCTATATTAGGGGCCGAAAGGACTTTGAAGGTCGAAGGGTTTCGGGTTGACAGTTCTTGATACTTGACAGTCTCTCAGTCGTACGGTTTTGACTTTACTTACCGGGCCCGGGCTTAGGAGGCTGCGAGAGTGGAATTCGAGCGCCTTTGTGGCGAGGACCCTTAAGCCTCAACTTGGCTGATGCTTCCAAACCTGCTCAGGAGTTTTCAGGCGAAGAGACTAAAAACAGGGTCCGAAGGGTGATTTTGGGCTATGCAGTCGAGAGTGGCTCGAACTACGATATTATAACAGAGTGACGATAAGGGGGTTACGATTATTGGTTACATATTCAACATACAGTGCTTATAAGCTGTATAGATGTATGGATCGCGCGTTTTTGGTCTTGAGCTTGCGGCTTCCTCGAAGTGCAAAGGAACATGTACGATCGGGAGCTGCGGCTAACAAAAACATCATGTTGATACTTACTGTTATTTTGTTTGTGATTCGGATATGGTTCGCATTTATGAACTTTTTATGATATCCTTTAAATATGATTCTACTATGATTTGACTATGTTTCTAACTATGGACAAATTATGAAATGAAAATGTAACAAAAATATATGGATTTTTTTTGGAAATGTTATGAAAAGTTTGCGGTTTCCGAATAACTAAGGAACCCCAATCAAATTGTAATGGAACTGGAATGACGATACGATTGAATCATGAATATTTTAATTATTCGCGGCTTGTCCAGGGAGCAGGCAGACGAAGAAATCATAGTCAAATCATAATGGAACCATAGTCTGCCAGGAACTACTTTCCAGCTTCATAAATGGCCAACCATATTGAAACCATATCGAAATCATAAAGTTATTATTAAGAAAAACATTTGTTTGACCAACACCTCAACTCACAAAGATATTTGTTCACAGTTGCAGACCGTATTTTTGCGTTTCCGTGCGGCGTCTTGCGAATTTGGTCGTTACCATTCCATGGACTTATTTGGCAAAGCGTGTCTTGGTGTAGCACTCCTTGTGTGCTTGGTTGAGGTCAGTGGGGTAGACGGCACATGTGTGAAACATGGCGAGGGTCCCGTGAAACCAGTCTTGCCATCCATCGTCGCCCATGACCCGTTTCCTGTACGTGTGCCTGGGAAGCCACAACTTGTGTTGGCATGGGTATCCAGTAGACATCCGTTCGGCAGATCAGGAAGTTGTCGGAACAAGAAAGCATTAACACGTACATCCGAATTGAATTACAACTAGATGGGGAAAAATACAACCAGATGGGTAAAATAAATCTGAAATCTTTAGAAGTTGGTTCAGATGGGGGAACAATCAACCAGATGGGTGATAATACAACTGGGGGTCTTGGGGGGGTTTGTTTGAGATGTAAAGGGTCATTGGGGCTTTATTTGAGATGTAAGGGGTCTTTGGGGCTTTCTTGGCGATGTAAAGGGGCCTTTGGGGCTGTATTTTAGATGTAAGGCTGGAAGGGGTTTTCGGGATTGCCTACATGCCTTTGGCACCTACATGACAGAAAGCATACAAACCGAACTATTCATGTTAAGTATTGCTTACATGCCTTTCGCACTTACATGACCGAAAGCATACAAACCGAAATAATCATGTTAAGTATTGCCTACATGCCCTTCGCACCTACATGGCGGAAAGCTTAAAACCGAACTCCGACAAAATCATGGTAAGTATTGCTTACATGCCTTTCGCATCTACATGACCGAAAGCAAACAATTCAAAAGATTCATGTTAAGTACTGCCTACATGCCTTTCGCACCTACATGACGGAAAGCATACAAACCGAAGAAAATAATGTTAAGTATTGCCTACATGCCTTTCGCACCATAAACATCTTCAGTCCTCATTCGTGCTAGGGCGCAAAGAAAAGGGACCAATCACAAGCACCATTATCCAGCTTTGGTACTGGAACCTTATGGCTGTACCATGGGTTTTGTGCAGAGCATGTCCAAACTTATAAAGCCAGCGGAATAGCCAGTTGTAATTCTCCTGTTTGGGAGAGCCCACAATAGTGGTTCAGTTGCGTTTTCCCCCGTGCGGTTGTATTTTGTCCCGTTTGGTTGTATTTCGCCCCTGTCGCCTACTCCAATCGCTACCCGTGTGTATGTATCACTCCGTAGCACTAGGTGACAGGAGATACATCGAGCTGTCCCATCGAGCTAGCTAGTTCCGCTCTTCTCCACCTTTAAGCGGCCCCTGGTGCTCGTCTCACTCGTCACGCATCTTCCTCACTCGGGCTTTCGGGGTATTGTTTCAGACTTTTCCCGGATTTGTGCTGCTTGGGGGGAGGGGTTTGGCGGCCGCAGTAACGCCTGTGGGCCATTTTCCTCCTCCTCCTCCTGCTACGCAAAACACTGACTTTGAGGCGGGTTAAGTTCCTGTGAATAGCAGTAGAATTCAAGGCAGCATCCAGATTTTCAGTGCTTGGAACCGAAGCTCAATGAACATGTTTCTTTTTTTTTTTTGTGTGTGTGTGTGTGTTTTTTTTCAGGCGCGCTTTGCCAATTGCGGCCGGCTGTTGTTCCGCTGTCACTCTACACCATTAAGACCCAGGCCCTCACCCTCAACTCAATTCTCAACGCCCTCGTAGTTTCTGAACAACCCTGCCTGAAAATCCGCACAGGATGAGACGCTGGCTCTGAAACTGCAGTTCGAAGACGAGAGTTTGCTGCCCTTTGCTGCTGGAGCTTGCTGTGCCGTGTCACGCTATGCGGGTCAGGACTGTTCAAGTTGTTTAGGGTTCAAGCTTGTGATTCAAGTTGCTTGTTTGGAGATGTGTTCGGCTGAGACGTTTTGAGTTGGAAAGCTCAGTTGTATCCAGACCGAATCTTAACCTTCTGCTGGTGGTGAAGTGATGATGAAGTCATATCAGTTGACTAACCTCCTAGACTCCAAGTGTGCACATAGTAATACTTGTTATTGTTTTATGTAGACAAATTTTGAATCGGAGATATTTGTCTCCTGTTGCTCGCCCTGGTGACACGACGAGAGGAGAGAGACAGTTTGTTGTGTTTGACGGCGAGTTAACATGCCCTGTAAGATGTGGATGTCTGTGCATCTAAGGCGACATGCATGTCGAAGACATGGATGCCGCTATTGCTGCGCAGATGGAGGAGGAAGAGACTCTCGATCTTGAGTTCGTATCCCTGAAAGCCCTTGAAGCGTAGGTACCTCGACAGTTGGTCACACAGTCTTTGGGCCCTACAGACAGGCCGCGCAGAGCAAAAGCACAGGAACCAGTTTTAACACACGGCTGAGTCTGAACATGCGTCTTCATGTCATGTCCTGAGCTCGGAGACTTGGATAAGGAATGCTGGCGGTGATGACAAGACTTTCCTCCTGGCACAGCAGTTTGAAGAGTACGAGCAGCAGATGAAGCGTGATGATGCGGAGAAATGGCATGGCAAAGGCTATCGCATCGCACAAACTGCCGCTGTTTTTTCATTCAGGTCTCATGGGTATGCCTTAAATCCACCAAGGGTTTCTTGTGAGCAGGAGGGCGATTTGGACCCAATTATCACTTCCAAGGGTGCTGCGCGTCCATCCCTAATTCGGATTGTAAGCACCATCGTGTGGAAACCGCATGTGACATGACCTGTCCAGGTGATCTCATGCAGTCGAACTTCGCTCGGGAAAATCTTTCATTGCAGACCATGGAGAAGGCGCACCCAAGATTTGGCAAATGGCTAGATTCGTGACTTTTTGCCCAGGGGCTTAGAATTGAGGAAAGGTTCACATGTCGGTGTTGCATTCCTACCGGCAGCCATTGGACGGACATGTGACATGTACATATCCTTTCCGCTAGGCCTCCATCCCAGCGCTAGCGCCCAAGCATATCAGTCTCAACTCTAAACCCGACACTCCGGAGAGCCACCACTACTCCAATCGGTTGCTTGAGAGGCGAGCCCTAAGTTTCTCCAGAGTTTTTTTGTTTTGATCTTTGGTCGGCAGTCCTTCTACACTCTTTCATGGGCTATTGGCAACAAAGATCGTCACAAGATCGGCGGAAGCGGATTTGCATATATGTAACTGCATGCACGAATCTAAACTCTAAGACTCTAAATAAGCGGTAACGCTGATACAAACGAACAAGCCGAAACATAGGGAGAGAGCGAACGAGCGAGCAAGAAATCTAAATGCAACCTTGTAATGACCTAAGTATTTCTACATATGCACGCTCGTAAGTACGGGTATTTGCTCCGGTACATACATGTGCACTCAAAGAACGTGCATCGTAGGTGGGGCCATCTGGCTGCGGTCAGAAGTTGTAAGGCATGTCGGGCCTGAAAGAGACTCCTCTGAGTGAGGATCCTGATACGTCGGTTCAGCCTCTTATTGCAGTAAAGACTCCAAATTTTGCTAAGTAGTTATGGGACGAATTTTTTCCTTAAATATAAACTGCTTCAATCCCAAGTGCCTTTCTTGCAGGTCACGTGCTACTCGCTTGGCCATGGCCAGCTAAGTGAGAAGAGCTTCTATGAGCTGCTCCAGGTGAGCTCCATCAAAGCTTCCCGGCGAAGGATGCAAACGTACCGACGTCAAAGCCAGACTCTAAAGTCCTGCCATCCTAGTTAGTTTTGTTTCCCGGGCAGCCTCAAAGTTGCTGCAGCTACCTCGCCGAACCTGACAGATTCCCAGTGTCAACGCCAAAACCTGGAGAAGTGCATAAAGCCCTTTCTGTATGGTCGAGACACCAACAGTGCTTCCGTGGCAGCTTGCCCATTGCTAATCTTCTACACGGCAGGTCACCCTAGTGCTTCAAAAACCGAAGGCACCGTGCCTTCCTGCTCGCACTGTTCAGAATTTGAGGGCATCGGGACTTCGTTCGGCCCCCCTTCGTGGCTGGTGGGGGTAGCAGCCTTTCCAGGTTCTCTACGACTTCAGGGCCAGCGACCACCGGGGAGAGGCTTCTGCTGAATCTTTGTTTCAACCCGACGCATGGTATAGCACCAAGCGGCGACCCACATGTGTCCGATGGATGTTCACAGATTCACTTCACATGTGGCCTGTATGCATGTGGTGCCCCTGTAACTGTATATGTGTGTGCTGAAACACTGTATTGTCATGTGTTGCTTCACCAATTCTCGCTGATGAGAAGTGACATTATTAGATAGGGTCTGCTGTGTTGCATGATAACACCTGGCAAAACATGATATGACATTCCATGCTCATTCGTTTTTACTCTGTTCTAGTCTGTTCAATTCTGTTCTAGTCTAGTCTGTTGATGTCTGTTATCTTCCACCTGTGTCATGTTGTACTGTGTCATGTTGTGCTAGGTTCTGTTTTGCTAGCTGATTGTGTATGCTTTTGAAGATTATACATGTATATATCATGCTGTAGAGCAGAAACCAAAGCAGAACAGCAGGCTAGGCTTGAACAGAATAGAAAAAAGGCTGGAATGAACAGACCGTTGAGCGAGAGGGAAGCACTTATCGCATATGCGTGTACATGCCAACTTGTAGAAACGAAGCCACATCAAGCACTAGAGTCGTTTGTATGTGTGCTCTGCAACGGAGACGAGAAGCAGTGGCACAACAGAGCTTGTTCCGCTGATCCATCCTTATCGTTTTCGTGCACCATGTAGTCGCGGTCAAACTGAAGCAGCGATCCCGCCCCGAAAAGCCCCTGCAACCCCAACGGCGCAAACCCCAAAGACACATGACCCAAATGCAGGTGCATTCACCCCAGCCACACTTCGCTGTCCGAGCGCTGAAATCCAGCTGCCGGGTCCGGGGCATTGCCTACAAGCATGCCGCGCGGCCTCGCGAACGGGTTTGAGTGAGTCATAGATAGTTTCTAGAGCAATCTAGAGCATGGCCTATTCAACTGCAGCCACCAACCCTACGAATTTGATTCTCGACGATGTCCGACAAGCTTGGTTTGCAAAGCTGCACTCCTTTCTGTAGAGATTCTCTCAAAAGAGGAATGCAACGGCAAACGCCGCTAAACTAAACCTGAGCCCGGCGATTGCATTCTCGACCATGATGTTGTTGAAGGCCTCAAAGCGCATGCCGCAGAACACGCTGCTGTGTAGTCTTCACTCGCGGTTGTCTGCTTGAGTTACCTATCAAGTTTGCATTTCGTTGTCTTTCAAAACTGCATGTGCCAGAAGCTCACATATCAAGCTTTTCACCATGTTCAACGCACGGCTTCAACGCACGGCACCGGACAACCCGAAGCCGGAAATAACAAGAACCGAAGTCCAGCCTAAACCCCAAGCCCGGAACAGGGCAGCTTCAACCCTCAACTTTGGCTAGGCAACCCTCAACAACGAAGCGCATCAAAGCACAAGAACCCGGAAGCCGAAGCCAAGCGCTGACAGCGAATACACAGCTCCAGGTGGCACTTGGCCGAGAATCTGCATATGGCATCCTGAAGCACGTGAAGACAGATGAGGCCGCGTTCAGGGCAAAGAGGGGTTTCCCTTGGCAATAGACTACCAACACCAGTCAGTCATCACAACGGATCATGATATTGCCAAGGTCTTCTGGGGACGAGCAGAATTTTTTTTGGCATCAACAGTTGCAGGATGTTGGAAGAGTTCGTGCTGGATAAAGAGTTGAGATTCTGCGAAGCCGCCGCATACTTGGGGTAGCTGAACAGGATTCAAGTCACAAGTTCTGGCCGAGGAATGCACCGGCCCGTAGCTCTAGGGATCGAGCAAGGCAGTTTGAACCGTGAATGTAAACGTTTGAACGTAGTCGCCCACAGTTAGGTTTGCTCCAATTAAAGATTCGCTCCCTTCTGCGCCTTGGATTAGGTGCGTTCAGGACCTCGCGTCTTTCGACAGTTTGGGTTGCCTCATGTACAAACACTCATTTCCCATCAAGCGTAAGCCTTGAATCTGTGAAGTCATGTCAGCAGCCAGGCGCAGCACGCTCTCATCGAGTTGGCTTGGCATGCGAAGCGCGGGAGGACGTGTGGCTGGGCAGAGAAGCTGCTGATGTTCACGAGGGGCCAGCCCACGAGCTCATAAGACGGCTGCTCCTCTAAGTACGACTCGCCCTAAATATGCAAATAACATTGTCCGAGAACACACACACACACATCATTCGACGGATGCCCATCATGTGATGTCTTCTAGTTCGCCTTACAGGGCCCTTACTTTACCCGCTAGGTTGGAGGTTTGCTGACCCCATCCGTTCACGGGTGTTCCTGCGGCATTCTTCGCTCTTGGGGAGGTTCTTCGCAAGCATTTGAGGCCGAGGCCAGGATTCCAGGTGTAGGCCTTCGGCTACAGAGCCAGGTGAGGTTGTGACTTTGCACTGGGACCAGCCTTTCCTATCTTCTTGAAAGTCGGAAGTTGTTGATGTTCAAAGGTTCAAAGCGATCGACTGACTTGTCAGCACGTCCTTCACGGGGTAAACCGGGTGCTAGAGACAATGACGAGCCCATACTGATGAAACTACCACAGTGGCTGCGAAAGTAATGAACACCTCCGATGGAGCCGCCAAAGACGCCCAGGCTTCCTAGGCTTCGACCCCAACTGGAAGCATGACCACCGACAGGCTGGGACGGGGTGGGGCTCAACAAAGAAACCTAATAACTAGTGACTTGAAGGTTTGATATTTACGGGCTCCTAACCCCCCCCCCCCCCACACACCAAAGCTCCTGCACCTTACCCCTTCAACCTTACAACTAAGACCCTAAGCATCCCCATTCCGCCTTGTCAGAAGGATCTTCGGTGGCCGAAAGTAGAGAACACCCCAACCCGCACATGCGAAGCCAGCTTCGTTTCATGCCGCTCTTGACAGGTCATTGCTGAGGAGTTGGTACTTGCGGGTCATTCCGTGAAGCACATCGATACATGCCTCGAGATTCTGGTGCGGGGATTGGGGATAGGGTCAGACATCCATTAAGGTATGGGTGGAAGCCGAAGTAACCCATGGTCGGCTGGGGGGGGTGGGGTGGTGATAGTTGGGTGGTTGTCGATGTTGGCTTGGCTGGGGCGGAATAGTCAGTCATAGTCGGTGCAAGCATATAGCGAGTAATGGCGTCTTCTTCTTCTTGTTCTGGTGGTTTGGTGCTCCGCAAAACTCAGGCTTGCCTCCTTGGTATACCCTTAGCACACTCCAATCTTTGCATCTTGTTTTTCGTCTCACTGCTCGCTGGAAACGGCCTCGTGCCTGGTTTCTGTGACCCTTGATGAGTCTTGGGTATGAGGAGCACATGACGTGTCACTTTGACCACAAGGCTTACGTAGCCTTGGCCTGAGGATCTCTCAACTGCCAAGACTTCCGCCCTAGACTCCGAGCCCCACATGCCCTTGAGCCCGAATCCGGTTCCCGGGATATTCCTCAGCAGGTTCAAAAATCCGGCTTAAGGTTCTGAGTATGTAGCTGACGCCTTCATTTCTAGTCGCTTGACGTTTGAGGATAGTACTGGGGCTATGGAAGACCACCAGCGCATCGACAAGTGGCCGGACTTCCTCGCTGCTGCCTGAGCAGTCGTGCTGGGAGCGTAGTACTTCATACCATGGGTGCTAATTAATGCCTACTATCGGGTTGAAGTTCCAGGTCAACAATACGTGCTTTTAGAGCACTGCCGAAAACATAAGGTAATCATGGTTGAACAGCATTGGTCGAGAAACACTAAATCCGGGGAGACGTACGACAAGTTCAGCCCGAACCCAGTTTCATTCAAGCAGAAATCGGTCTGGAAGCTGAAGCGGCCTTGTCCGCGACAGTCTGTTGGCTGTCGTATTCTGCTGACATCATGAGGATCGAAGCCACTGGTCCACAACAGAACGGAACCAAGAACATGCGCAACAATGCGACAGTTTCCGCTCATCAGCTTAACCTGAGATGACTATTTCGCGTTGTTCGTGGTCTCCGGCTTTGTGGACACACAAGCTGCGACTCAGGGTGGATCCCACATGTTGCCCTTTTAAGAGTTGAAAGCAACATGAAGCCAAAGCCAAAATCATGTAGCCAGATGCGACATAGAGTCCCTAGAGGCTGTGGCTCTGATGAACGAACATGTAGAGTTTGGAATGCACCTACGCATATATGTGTGTGTATATACATATGTACATGTAGAACTGCACAAACAGATATGTACACACACAAACTGCCGCTCGCTACTTGGGAAGATATCTGTCGGACTGAGGTTCAGGAAGAGGACCGACTGCGCACATTGGAGAAGCAGCGCCAGGCGGACGTGGGAGGAGTTAGTGAATTCTGCGGTTGGGCCTTTGAAGGAACGGCCAGTGAGTGTCAAGCAGCTTTAGAAGCACCACGCACTGTGTTCGCAGATTGGATCTGTTGCCAGTTTCGATTTACTTACGATCTCCGAGTTCCCATTCGATAAGCTCGAATAAGCTCGCTCGGCCGATAGTTGCGAATCAACGGAATCCTGAAACCATGAGTTTGAAGGCTCCAAGTTCGATGAATCGGCACAGCCTCCTCGGTTTCAGATTCAGGCTGGCGACCTTCGTCGGCAGGAGAAGTCGGCCGTGGATCGCTCATCCGAGGTGCATTTGGCTAAAACTCCACTTCTGAAGCTTCCGGCATCCCATTCCAAGAAGACTGTAGAGGGTGACTGGGCGAACACCTGTAGTGTGAGCCTTGCATGGCATTTTCCATATCAGAACTTCATCCCCAAGACCTTGGAGCCGCTTCACTCCTAAAGCCTCTCCTCGGAGAGGTTCTGCTAAGTTCCTGAATATGCTGGGTTGGGCCAACACGTCGGCTGTCAAAGGCTCAATGCTTGGGGGTGATCTTGAGACAGCATAGACGGCCACCAAAAACCCGGCCATGTCTATTGGTACGGCTGTGACGCTGCTGAGGCGGTCGCAGCAAGGCTCATGAAGCCCCAGCAAGCGATTCTTGTCTATGAGTTGGATTGGGCGGACTGGGTCAATCTGTTTCCACACACTCTTTCGCGAGGGCTACGGCCGGTTAAAACGGGCATCTTCGCAGCGCAGGAGGCTCTCAGTTCTGTTGAAGCTAGGGTCATCCTCTTGTTGTTTCTGCTGCATCCTTCGGCGTCAACCCTATTTGGAAACTCTATAACACAAAAGACTAGTTCCTGCGCCGAATGGAGCTCAGCTCTCCGAAATCTCAGAGCTTCTGTTCTACACATCGGAGTGTCAGCAACTTCTATGAGGATTGATGCCATGGACGAGCTGCGGGCGGCTTCAAACCAGGCGGCCTGCGTAAGTGGGGGGGGGGGGGGGGGGGGGNNAGGGTGCCTTTACTATAGGTACTATACTTACCTTTCTTGAGTTGAGCCTTGCATTTTCTGGCCTCCTGCCTTCGTTTCTGTAACACTTAGTGATGATGACTACTGACCCAGCTTCTGCTACTGACGTGTTGTAGACCAATGCCAATGTTCGTTGTCGGCGTTGTCATTTTGTTGTGGTCGCCTTTAGGCTTAGTTGACTTTTAGTTATGATGGTAGTAGCAGCACCCGTAGCGCCAGCATGAGCAATCAGACTTAAACCCAGAAGCTAACTCCTCTATTTTCCAGTCGTTCGGAATTCTGCAGAGAGGTGGAGCTGGAGCGAGCCCAGCGCAATCTGGCACGACTGCAGCGCATTGGCGACAAGCATGGGGCGCTGGTTGCCTGGCAGAAGATCGTGTTACATTGGATTTCAGCATGGTTCCAGGTTTTCACGGGCTCGCTTCGGAGCTGATTCGGGTAGGCGAACGGCACACTGTTCGACTTGGCTTTCAGGCAAGGCAGCCAGGAAAGTCCTCCCACGTCTTCCGTAACACATGAAGCCTAAAGCAGTAGCTCCAAACACCAAACGCTACTCGGATCTTTCGGACAGGTTG